CTCCTCTCGTGTGCACGAGCAGCTGGATACGAAGGAATTTACGCAGCTCATTTACACACTTTTCCTGAAGATAGAAGAGTTTGTTGAATCTGACGTGGCATGTTCGTACGAACCCTTTGTACGAACAAAAGTAAGAGAAATTTAGGATAAGAATACAAACATGTTCTTGCATGAGGCCCAATCTGAGCAATTCAAATTCAATTCCTGCTGGCACAAGATTTGTCCCATAATAATCTACCAAACACATTTTTTTATTGTGCTATGGCTGTTGTTGAAGCAGAGTTCAGCTACTGAATGTGTGCATTTCTTAATGAAATACATTATTATCTTAAACTCCATTTATCAATTAGCTACGTACATGTTGGATTCATGTTGTGTGTTTAAATGCATAAGTTTGAAATAATAGAAATATATTAAAAGAAAAAAAAAGTCATTTCCTGACCCCCTGCAGTGCCTTCATGACCCTTAGTGGGGGCGTGACCCAAACACTGAAGACCCCTGCTGTACAGCTTAAAAACCTCAATGTCCTGTTAAAATTTTATTTTGTTTGAACCAATGAAATTTCATAGAAATGTGATGAAATGAAAATGCAGAAGACCGATATCTTGGATCCCCTTAGTTACATCTTGGCAATACGCTGGTGTGGATTATCTATTATCTAGGAAATGACTAATCAAAAACTAACTAACTAACTAACTAACTAACTAACTAACTAACTAACTAACTAACTAACTAACTAACTAACTAACTAACTAACTAACTAACTAAATAAATAAATAAATAAATAAATAAAAAGACAAACTGGTTATTTTGCACAGACAATATATTTGGGGTGGGGGTGGTGTTATATCTGTATCATTTTGCATGGATTAAAAAGCATGCAATGTAAAATTATTATGCAGACAAATGCATCTAACTTACACAAGTTCAAACTGAACAACAAAAATCCTCTTGCTCAGTCTTTAACAGAACATAACCCTTGATACAAAAATGTCTCCAGCAGTTTAAACATCACAGGTTGTTTCCACTATTTAAAAATGAGTCTTAAAAAGCAGAATGGACATAATCTTTTAAAGCAACTTCAATAAGTAGTGGAAACTGCAATCTAACAATAAATAAATAAATAAATAAATAAATAAATAAATAAATAAATAAATAAATAAATAAATACATACTTGCTAATCTTTTTTTCCAGCCTTTTAAGATAAAAATATGTTACCGGTATGTGCTGACCTCAGGTGAGCTCCGAACATTAAGAACACTTGAACAATGACAGCTTGTCTTGTATTTAAACACAGGAGGTAAAAAAAAGGACAAAGAAAAAGAAAAAGAAAAGAAAAAAATCAGCTGACAGCTTTGGTTTTCTATTAACATTATGGTTTATTTGACTCTGTAAACTCAGCTGGACACCTTTGTTTGGTTAATTAAAGGTTTGGTTGTGAAGCAGCTGCTTGTGTGTGTGAGATCATCAGCATCACCAGGTTATACATTAATTCAAGGCTGAAAACACTCCCATTACAAACAAGGAGGGAGGTTTGACCACTAAATCTTTATGTGATGTACTCTCACTCCCATTTGACCTGATTTCTTCATAAAAACTAATAAAAATCTGAGCTTCTGACTCTCAAAGCTGGAGCTCTTTCAATTGAGTCATAAAGAAGACGAGAGGCGAACACAAGACCACGTTGAACAAACCAGAGAGAGAATTTACTGAAACACTGAGAGGAGACGCTGACGCTGGAATATTCTGGACTACATTACAAATATTTATCAAACTAGACTGACTGCAGTCTGAGTGAATGTAGGATTGTGGGAAAAAGGAGTGCTCAGATTGTGCCGATATTGGGTTTTTTATCAGTTCAGGATGGGAGAAACGAAAGTTTCTGGTGAGGAGGAGAGACCCAAATGGGACAACAAGGTTCAGTACCTGCTGACATGTATCGGCTTTGCTGTGGGGCTCGGAAACGTGTGGCGGTTTCCCTACCTTTGTCAGATCTACGGAGGCGGTGAGATGCACAGTTTACAATCACACATTTACACAAAACTCCTGTTGGTTTAATAAGCTTTTCTTCATTTTAATTTTTTACATTTCAGATAAAGAAAATGATTTCATGCAGTATACAATTTATACGGCATCAAAAATGGTATTACAGTTGAAATGCGTTGAGGTAAAATCAGGGACTGTTTTTTTACACAATGTAACATTTCCTTTTCTTTACTTCCTCATAGTTCCCAGAGAGATATTTTGAGCCTAAAAGCCACAGAATCAGTAAAGTCCTTGGTCAGGATTAGGTTGAGTAAATAGGCACGTCTGGAAAAAGCTCTGTTGACTTTGAGATTCAGATTCTCAAAGTAAGTGTTGGCGACTCGGCTGAGCCTTTGTGTGCCCTTCTTAAGTAGGTCACGTTTGCCTGAGGTTATTTTAAAGTAAAATTTTTATTATGTACGACTCATGTACAGCGGGTAAAATAAGCATTGAACACGTCACCATTTTTCTCAGTAAATATATTACTAGAGGTGCTAATGACATGAAATTTTCACCAGATGTTGGTAACAACCCAAGTGATCCATAC